AGAATATGCAATTAAAACGAACACTTTGATTTGCGAATGAAAATCTTTTGAAATAAACAAGTGTATGTCATATATATCCATATATTTAAATCATATATATCCAAAGATTCGAAAACATTTGTAAAACTCTCAGCATGGTTTCAGAAAACAACGATCAACTGTAACACAGTTGTTATCGTTTCTTGAAGAAGTGTACCACACTAGTGAAGAAGAAGAAAGAACACTTGAATTACTATACAATAAAGAGCCGAGGCATCAGTGTAGCAAAGTGTAAATAATAAAATTGGTTATAAATTCATTGGTTACATCAAACAAAAACAAAACATCAGAAAACAAGCAATAAACAAAATCGGTTACAGTTCGGAAATTGGTTGATTAAAGTATATGAAGTTTCGGATACTATAGAAAAATAAAGATTTAAGAATAAGGAACAAGCTGGTAATAAAACTTTACAAACAATTTTACAGATAGTACAATTATACAGCGTATATACAGAGTATATACAGTTTCTCTTTCAAGCAATGTTTGAAAAAATAAACTGAATTAAAACATATAGAACTAGCAAAAACGGAAATCACGCCACGTATTTGTATTAGTACATAAAGGATTGTTTCTCAAATCACTCACGTAAAATTCTTTCAATTTTTTCTTGAATTCTGTTTTCGATTTTTCTAAATTGCGCAAAATTATGGGCAGTGAATTCCATTTTTTAGAAGTCAAATGAAAAAATGATTTTTGTGGAGAAGCAGTCGAACAATGTTTGTCAAAAATAATTTGTTTCGTTCTTTCGTTGAGCTTATAATTGGCAGTCGGTAGTCTCAGTGTATTTTCAAAAGCCTTCTCTTTGTTTGTAAGATATTGGTATGTTATACACTTTAACTCAATTCTTTTCTCGATTCCAATGAACGATTTGCTAATGCGAAGAAGGGAAGAAGATTTAAATTTCGATCTGAAATATGTTCTTTTTAGCGCCCAGTTCAACTGTTTCTCCAGAGATAGCATCAAAGTAGCATTAATTTGTTGTAAAAAAATTGCTGAATAATCTTAATGTGATAAAACAAGACAATGAAGCAAGGCAACTAATGATAATGTCGGCAGTTGTTGTCCAATTGTATCAATAGTTTTAATCCCTTGGGCCATTGTTTGGAGAATTGTTGTGATTTGAGCATGAAAAGATAAACTTGAATCAAGAATTATGCCTAAATATTTGCATTCTGACTTTTTGGCTACATAATGCCCACTAATTACTAGTTTATCAGTATCCACATTTTTGCTATCATTTTTTTGACAAAATGTTATAAATTTCGATTTAGATGCATTCAGATTCAATTGGTTCTCTGCAAAAAATTCCGTTAGATTATTGAGTAATTTTTGCAATCGATTCAAAGCATCCTCAGAAATTATAGAAGAGGAAAAAACCAAACAGTCGTCAGCATATTGAACTAAATAACAACCTTCATATAATCGCTCTTGAATGTCATTAACATATAAATTGAACAACAATGGACCAAGTACCGTTCCTTGTGGGACACCTCGTTTTTTTTCAATCCAGTCTGAAAAAATTCCATTGACGTTTACTCTTTGAATACGTTTGTTTCGGAAGCTAGCAATTAAAGCATTTGCTCCATTTGAAAAACCGAGAGAAAGCATTTTTTCAATTTAAACTTCATGCGAAATAGAATCTAAAGCCTTGGACAGATCTAATAAAGCTGTATGTACGATTTTTTTTTGAATCTATTTGATTTCGAAAACTTTCTGTCACATAAACAAGAGCATCTTGTGTTGATATGTTTTTGCGAAATCCGAATTGAAATGGTGTCATTATTTGAAATTTGTCAAGATGTTCTGTTATTTGGGCACGTAAAATTTTTTCAAAAATTTTAGAAAAAGCACAAGTTATTGATATTGGCCGATAATTTTTTGCATCCATTGGGTCATCTTTTTTAAACAAAGAAGTTACGATTGCTTTTTTCAGTTCGATCGGGAAAATGTTCTCATCTAAGCAAGTATTCATGACAAAAGTTAAATGTGGAACTATAACTGATTGACCGTCAATTATTGCCCAAGCAGGTACGGTACAAGGTCCGAGAGGTTTTCTAACATTGATTTTTCGAACTATATCAAAGCATTGCTTCATTGTAATGTGTTGAAAATGAAAAGATGCAGATTCAGAGGCAGATTTGTTGTAATTCGGAGGCTTTTTAGCGCCGAAATATTCGCCTAAGTTTGAAAAAATATAATTTAAATGATTGGCAATTTTTTTTTCTTGGGTTATCATTTCACAGAAGGATCTTCGTAGAACTGTAACTCGATTGTTGCCAGAACATGTACCTCTAACTTGGTTAATATATTTCCATATTTGTTGGATAGTGCTGAGAAGTGAAAAACAATTTTTTGAATGATCGAGTTGTTTACTTCTAATCAATTGGCTCATTTGATTACGTAAAAACTGTTACTTTGACCAATTATCGCTTGTGCTTTGACTGCGATATGATCTGAGTGAATTCTGTTTCTTAGTCAACAATTGCTGACATTCTGAATCGAACCATTCCGTTTTCAACACGTTTTTTGGTTTAAAATTACGAACAAACTTTTTTTCGATAGGAGCATGTTGCTGTAGAGCACAAGAAATTAAATAAATCATCGTCGAGAACATGTTTTGTGCGTCTGTACATTGATATAAAAGATACCAAGGAAGAGCGGAGAGTGAATTGCAAAATTCATTTTTCTGATAATTTTTCTTATTGAAAGTCGAAATTATCCTCGGTAAAATTTTGCCGCATTTTATATCCGTCAAAATAAATGAAGCAAAATGGTCGATTTTATAAGGTGTATCAAAACAAAATTCAATGCAGTTTGTTTCATAGTCACTGATTATGTAGTCGATATGAGTTTTTGTTGAGGAACTAATTCTGGTCTCATCGTTTGGACAAAAAACCTTCAACCCATATCGAATAATTATAGAATCTAAATTTTCTTTTTCTTTGCTATCCAGATAATTTATGTTATAATCACCCATAAGCGTAATTTTATTAGAAACTGAAAATGCATTATCTATGTTAAGCGTTAATTGTTCCAAAAAATCAATAAAGTTTGATCTGCTTGGGTTATAACACAAATTAACTAACATTTTTTCTTTACTCGAAATGTTAAATGTAGATTTGCACTCAACCCACAGTGACTCATATTTTTCTTTATCAAATAAATTTAAATCAGGCCTCAATTTCGGAGCCAATTTGACTTGTATATTTAACAAAACGCCACCGCCTTTCTTTTTTACCGCTGATTGCCTATCATATCTGAACATCGCATGCGTTCTAGGTTGGAAATTCCATAAATTGTCACTATATTCTTTTTTAAGCCACGTTTCGGAAATTCCTATAATTGTATTTTCGCCCATATCATCAAGAAATTTTTTCAATTGCATCCGTTTTCTAATAATACTTTGAAAATTCAAATGAACAAATTTAAGATTTGCACAATTTTTTGAGCAGATACCGTAGACTGTTTCAATGGTTTCAATAGGACCAGGGTTTTTTTCAACATCCCCACTTTGGGTCAGTAACAACGCGAAAAGGAAAAGATGAGTCAGTGTGGTAGCTCTCCGCTCATTTATCCCACATTTCGATGATAATATCTTTTGCTGGCAGCTTAGATAGCCCCAGTAAACAATAGTTTTTTCTTTAGTTTCCATCTGAGCCTTGGAAATTAGAAAATTGCACAAAACAACCAGAATTTAATATTCAGCATAATAACTTAAATAAATTAAATAATCGCCAAAGATTGCACCAAGAAAAAATGCGAAACTAGTATTTCCTAAAAAATTTTGCACCGTTTTGGAAAAATTGTAACATTTCTGCCGTTTTTGGATCTAAATTTGATGATTGTTGGGTTTGCTTCATTCTGGGGCAGGTTGTAATCTCACATGTGTTTGCATTAATATCAGAACCTCTAAAAGAATCTCTAAAACTTTGCACCAAAATTTCAACACTCTCATCAGAAGGATGCAAACCATCCGAGCTAAGCGCATCGGTATTTTGACTAAAATTTTTGTTTATGTCTAAAATATCCAATTTTACTTCGCCCAAGTCTTTTACATTCCGTACTAAATTAAGAATTTGCTTGTTTAGCTTCTGTACATTTGGATTAAAATTTTTTCTAAAAGCGCCTAAGGGAGTTACAGTACATAGTGAAATTGTTTCTGGGGAGAATTTATGATTTATGAGATAAATTAGTTTTTCTAAGCTACTCACGGCTTCCTTCGCGTCGAAATCACTTGAGAGGCAGTCATTTATTCCAATTAGCGTAGTTACATGTTTAAAATGTCGCGATTTACTGTTTCTCACGCGTTCCAGCAATGCAGAAATTTTGTGCCCACCAAATCTTCTCGCCAACACATTTTCCGATATTTGTTCCCCATTGATTCTGTTAACAATTGAGTCTCCCAGTAATAGGCCAGAATATTCTCCTTCTCGTGGTAAAAATAAATGTTTTCGTTGCTGGTCGAATTTTTCGTCTTGAATATTGGTTGCTTGTATTTTGATTTCTTGGTTATTCTTGCTTTCTTGGTTATTTTCGCTTCGTTTGTTCTGATTTCTGCTCCGAGTTCCAATCTTGCTCCATTCATTTTCAAATTTGTTTTCTGTAATTTTCGAATTGACCGTGTTTTTAAAATTTTCTAGATCAATAAATTTGTTTCTTCTTTCTTCTTCTTTCGTTGATACAGTTCAGTTTTCGATAATTCGTTTAAAATAAGTAACATTTTCGACCAAGTCTTTATGCAGCTCGTATTTCAATTCGTCGTTCAAATTTCGGAAAGTTTCGAGGTCAAACATGTTGGCGATTAAAAGCGAAAATAAAAATAAGACATTAAAATGAACCGACTGATCGCTAGAAATATAATTTGGTTGTGAAACTTTGGAAATTGGTTGTGAAACTTTGGAAACCGTGGAAATTAGTTTGTCAACTTTGGAAAATCAAACAATCTACTACCAGTATACCTATTTAATAAGTTTATCACAACAATTAGTGATTTCAACGTTGCTTCTGCTGCTGTTTATTTTGGTTTCGGTAAAGCCTTTGATTCTGTTCGTCATGATATCATTCTAAACAAGCTATCAATGTATGGTTTCGATTATGATTTCTTGTTACTTTTTCGTGGTATCTCTGTAACCGATCACAGTGTATTCGTAGAAACGCGCACATTTTTAATCCACGTACTGTTACTAGTGGCGTTCCTCAAGGCAGCATCGTAGGTCCGCTTCTTTTTCTTCTTTTTATCAATGATCTGCCAGAGTGTATAGAATTTTTCGGTTTGTTATTTGTTCGCTGACGATTCAAAGTTGTTTTCTGTGTACAATTTATAATCAATTTTTATAAATCCTTCGTTACGTTATATTCAAAAAAATAAAAATTTCAGCGAAAATGTCTGAAATGGGTTATTGGTTCAATGCCCTATAAAGACTAGTTATTTCTCACTGAAACTTTGCCTATCTGTTACCGTTTTATTTTCAACGATGTGTTGCTGTTCTCCAAAATGTAACATGGTCTTACAGAGCTGCCGTTTTCCTCGTTTTACTTTTTAAGGTGACCACCAGCGAAAAGTACACCATTCTCTGCAGAAGTAAAAAAGCAAAAAAGTGGCAGACCGAGAAGTTCTTCTTTCATCACGTTGAGAAATCCCTCAACGAGTTGAACCGTATTGGTGTAGACATCTTCGCTCCCCCCGAATTTTTCAAGTGCCGAGTCAAGGAACTTCTTTTTGAGAGAACGGTGTCAACTTTTGATCGACTGAACTCTTGTTCATGGTTCTTGAAGTGCACTTGTTCAAACTGTCTACTTTTTTTTTATCTTAAGGAATTAACACTCTTCTTTCTTTCTTTCTTTCTTTCTTCTTTCTATGTCAGATATTAACCAAATTAGATTTAAAGTCGAGCATAGTTTAAAGTATTCATAACCAACATTCATAAGCGGTTACATTCGCCCGGAAGTACATACAGACAGAAAAAAACAAGGCCCTAAAAATATTGGCTAGCGTCTAAACACAGCTTCACATGCTTTTAACCGTCTCTACAAAAGCCAGTTCTATGTGTAGTCCATTAACATCGGGTCGATAAAGTCATTAAAACTTGAAGGCTATCGGCAAAACCGCGCAAACTAACGTAGTTAAATGCAAAAATAGTGAGCTTATGGCTGGTTCTCAGTATCCTCAGACCACGAGGTTACTCCTAAAAACAAGGCTATTTTTTCTTAAATAAAGCTATTGTTTTTGTTCTGGAGATAGAAATAACCATATCCATCTGAGATGGATCAACGCTTTCCCTCAACTCCTAGCTTCTCCTTATCTAAAAGCAATTTTATTGTTATTTAACTCAATTCAGGACATTCCATGACGTTAAAAACTAGTTTACAGTTTTTCCCAGACTATACTCCGGAATCTCGAATCCGGTCAAAGAACTGTCTTCTTAACGACCAGGGGGGGGGGTAGCAAAATCCTCCCAATAGCCCTCCTGATTCTCGAAAATTGCTCGTAACGGTTGTAGCCGCACAATTCTTATAATTAAGAATGCTCTTCCGCTAACATCTTCCACTATAATTTCGCTGTATTTCGTCGTCTTGTTTTTGCTAGCGAAAATCGTTGTGTGCCAGTCGGTCATGTCTGGGGGTTTGACCTTGAGAAATACGCAATTTTGGAGTGAAATTTTAATTTTGCAAAATTCGAATTGAGCATGTCATGCTCAATTTTCTCGAACCAACTGAAAATGAAAAAGTCAGAAATCAGAACACCCGAATTAACAATTGCGGGAAACTACTCAAGAAAAAGGCAGGAAATTGCTGTTCGCAATTTCTCGATACGAAATATCAAGAGAGTAGAGCTGTCTTATCCCGAAAACAGGAGAAAACAACATTGACTTGAGGAAGGATCACTATTCGAATGGAATAGTGTGGACCTTCAACGGAATAGAGGACTACTCGAGTGTCCTAATGGTCCAAACGAAAACTTCAATTCTTGAGACAGAACTTACTTTCGTTATTGAAACTAATTGGCCTTAAAACTTATTTAGTTATATTAGTTAATTCTCAAGCTGCTCAGTTATAACTTACTCCTCATACTCAAGTGCGTCGATATGTAAGTTCCAATTTAAATTTCTCGAGTGCATTTTATGATAATTATGTTGAGATAAGGCGAGTTTTAGGTTGATCCATCTGAAATGGATCAAAGTTCCACTGTCCAATAAAAAGTAACTAAGCGGATTGTTCCGACCCGGTTTTTAACGGCGTTCATGTATTTTGGGTATCCCGAGACCTAAGTATGGGGACGTTTTTATTTCTAGAGTGGGGGGGTATTTTGGTAGTGGCCTTTAAGCTGTAATGGGTTCCAGTCTCATGTCGCAAGCGAACCGAATTGGCTCCGACCGTTCTTGAGGCGGAAAAACACAAGAGATAGTGTCCCTGACTCTTGAGCCAATGGTTATAGGGCCTATTTTTCTTAAGCCTCATATGTGACTAAAGTAGGCGACTGTTACATAGTGTTTTTATGGCGCTCCTGGGTGTTTTTACGACATCATGACTACGGAGTCGAACCCACTTGACACAGCTCCGGGCTACATGCCCATTCTAGAGTACCGGTGGTACGGTTCAGCGGGAACGTGTAAACCTTCCGGTTGTACCGTGATAGCTTTTTAAGAAAACTCAAGAAAACTTCCTGGTACGCTCTCCGAACGAGGCTTAGCTAACCGAGTAAAGGGGGGCAACGAGGGGGACAAAAACACGAGCAAAAAAGGAAAACAAATAGGAACAAAAACTATAAAACGAAAAAAGACAGTGACTTTGATACCAAATTAGTTGGATCGAACCTTTGTATTAATTAAATAGTATACACATACTGTTTTACAAGACCGATCGTTTCGATCAATCTAGCAATTTAAACCAGTGACCTTGGTAGGGTGCCCGAGTGGGGGGCGTTGTTAAGGGTTTTTAGATAGATTGCGACCCAACCGGACCACTAGGAGACTTGACTGGAAAGGGTGACCAGTCGAGTGGGAAAGAGGTTCACAAGGATCGAAACGGACCACCAGGAGGCTTGATTGGAAGAGGTGACCAGTCGAGTGGGAAAGTGGGTCTGCTGTCAAGGGCAGAACAGAGACAACCAGCACAGGGCCACTACAAGAGGACGCACAGGGGTGTTCTCAAGTCGGACAACGGGTATCGTTAGAATCCACATTACATTATAGGAAATAAGTGTAAAATTGGATAAGCGGAGTCCCATCGTTTTGAAACAGTTTTTACTCAAGCAAACCTGGAAACAGGTCTACGGTTTTCTCAAGAGAGGTTTAGCACCCGGCGCTTAAGGGATTTTTTGGCTTAAGAGGGGGGCTAAACAGGGGGGAGGTTAGCAGGGGGGCTGGTTAGGTTAGAGGTTGGCGGTTGTAAATTGTAAAAAGGGGGGAATTAGAGTAACTAGTTAATCGACATCGTTGATTTAGTTACATTAGCCATCAACACGCGTGATAACAATAGGTGGACATCCAAAACTTATCTCGAGTTAAGATTGGTACGCTGGTTGGATCGGTAGGGGGGAACGGATATAGACAGTTTTCGTGACACCTCATAAGACAACTAGTGGGGGGAGGAAAACGCGTGGCAATTAGGTACCAGACATTTTTTTTGAAAGAAGGTTGACACTTGTCTCCTTTGAATTTTAGGTGGGTCGATTACTCTGTTTTGTTATTTTTTCGGTACAGAATTTTATTTTTTCTATAGACATTGTTGCGTTTTGGGGAAGATTTGCGATTGGTTTTTAATACAAACAGGTGATCACAAGATACCTGCACACAAGTTGTGGCTCCCAATCGCTGGGAACATTCAAAAAGAGGTAACTAATAAAGGGGGGGCCAGATTTGGCAACCAAGAGAGGGTTTTTGGGAAAATTTTCACTAGAGCTTGAGTGGTGGTACAAGGTACAGACAACCAAGGAGTCCCTACAACGAAGAAGAAAGAAATCCTATATCCAGACACTCAGTAACGAGTCTTGGGACAGTACCGAACTAGTCTAGGGACATTGCAGTCTGGGGACAGTCTTGGAGCAACACAGTCTTGGGACAGTGCAACTTTGGGGCAGTCTTGGACCAGAGCAGTCTTGGTACGAAGCGGTCTTGGGACATTGGTCTTGGGACATTGGTCTTGGGACGTTAGTCTTGGGACATTAGTCTTGGGCCATTGGTCTTGGGACATTGGTCTTGGGACATTGGTCTTGGGACGTTAGTCTTGGGACATTAGTCTTGGGCCATTGGTCTTGGGACGTTAGTCTTGGGACATTGGTCTTGGGCTATTGGTCTTGGGACGTTAGTCTTGGGACGTTGGTCTTGGGCCATTAGTCTTGGGACGTTGGTCTTGGGCCATTGGTCTTGGGACATTAGTCTTGGGCCATTGGTCTTGGGACGTTAGTCTTGGGACGTTGGTCTTGGGCCATTGGTCTTGGGACATTAGTCTTGGGACATTGGTCTTGGGACGTTAGTCTTGGGACATTGGTCTTGGGACGTTAGTCTTGGGACATTAGTCTTGGGCCATTGGTCTTGGGACGTTAGTCTTGGGACATTGGTCTTGGGACGTTAGTCTTGGGACGTTGGTCTTGGGACGTTAGCCTTGGGCCATTGGTCTTGGGACGCTGGTCTAAAGGTACCAACGAGAAGTACTGGGACAACGCTGAACGGTCTTGGGACGGTAAAGAGAAAGTCTTGGAACAGCATTAGGAAGGGGGTACTACAAAAGTAATAGGTTAGGTTGAAGCACCAAGTATAACAACACGTTCCCTATCCTAACCTAACACGAAAAGAGCTTACAAGAGTTCAAGAAAAATTGTTTTTAGCGAATTATTAATTTCTTTTTCCTTGGAGTTTTTAAACCTTAGAATAGAATTTTTGTAGATAATAATATTGTAAATAATAACAATTGTAAATAATGAGGCGGAGCAGGGTACCGGTAGCTGAAAAAAGATCGACCGAAGCAAGGTATAATTCGTCGCTAC